ATTTTTTGTGACAAGTATGATGTACCAGATTGCCCTATACCTAGAACGCTTCAGATAACTAGAAAAAATACTTCCTGCACACCTCTTTGAGGTGACCAATTCTTCATTTTGATAGAACTGGAGTGGAAGGGTAGAATGACAGATGAGTTTCATCTTAAATCTTGCTCTTAGGTATCCAATCAGAACAGATAATGGGATGGCTGGGGGTCATAAAGGGATGGCTTGGGAGGATGCAAGATTACAGCAGATAGACAGAAGCCCTCATCTGTCTAGCTCTCTCTCTTGATCTTCCTTCTCTCTCTCTTTGCAGGTGTCCATTTGGCCTACAGGATTATGTAGGGCCCAAACTCGTAGACTTATGGCCTAGTTCAGGCAATCTCCTGCTCTTCAGAAGCAGAACACAGGAAGGGCCCAGACACCCAGGAAAGCTCAGATTCAGGCAGGGCTTGCTTGCCCAGGTAGTGACAGGGTGCTGAGCCCACGAGTCTCACCTATAAGCTTTGTGACCAGTTGGGGGACTAGAAAAGTGGGAAGACAGGAACTACTGGGGTACAGCTGAGAGAAGCCCCAGTGACAGGTACAGAACACAGGAGTCTTGTTCCCATGTATGTGGCCATGGCTGTAGACTCAGGAAATCTGAAATGTCAGGGAACCATCAGGGTACAGGCCAAGAAAGACCCAGACATAAGATTTCAGAAGTCAGTCATACACTAAACCGGGCATCATGAGACAAAACTGGTGATATTGTACATAGGTAAAGGAGAAGTCAGGCCCTTAAGTACTACTGAAACTGTACTATAAACTCTAACTTTCAACTTTCAAAGTTTTGTGTGCAAATCTTTCAAACAATTCTCCAGAACCCATCAGTGCAGGAAAATCTATTTTTCAGCTAATAGTTTCATGAAGAATTTCAGGTTCCATTTCCTCCCACACCACATATCTTGGTTCAGGACATAGCACTGTCCTTCTGTTGTTCATCAATTTACTCGAGCCGGCCCAGTAACGTCTCCATTGTGAGACTTGTTGTTACTGTGTTTGGCATATTGAATAGGTCACGGGTAGCTTGCCAGGCTTTTGCCGCGTGAGTGACATACTCTTGGTAGCATCCTGGGCTCTCCAAGAGGGGCAGAGGAATTGAACCTGGGCTGACTGGGTTGGCCACGTGCAAGGCAAACGCCCTACCCACTGTGCTATCGCTCCAGCCCCGTTCAGGACATAATCCTCTTAAATATCATTTAGGGTGACTGTCTTGACTCACTTCTAAATATTGCAAAGTAAGCTTGCTTAAAAATTATTGAGGGGGCGGGCAAGGAGGAAGGGGCTCAGGTTCACTTGCCCTGCCACAGAGGTAGGATGGGATGGGGGGAGGGAGGGATGCTGGGACTGGTAGTGGTGGAGAATGGGCACTGGTGGAGGGATGGGTATTTGATGATTGTATAACTGAAACCCAAGCACAAAAATCTGTAGGTCTACAACTGAATTTCATGGTGTTTCACTAATAAAAATTTAAGAAAAAAAATTATTGAGGGGACCTGAGAGTTAGTACAGCAGGCAAGGCACTTGCTTTGCTCATAGCTGACCTGGATTCTATCCCCAGCACCAATTATTGTCCCCTGAGTTTAGCAGGAGTGATCCCTGAGCTTGAAGCCAGGAGTAAACCATGAGCACAGCTGGGTATGACCCTGCAAAAAACAAAACAGAAACAAACAAAAAAACCCCTAAAAAATAAAAAAAATTGAATTTTTACACTTAGTAAGTTGTCCAATTAGTTTTGTATTATGTCTCTTTAGCTGCCTAAGAAACATTTTAACTGAGTTATATAATGTAAGCTCAAAAGGTCCAGATGGAGCTTTTCTTGTTCATTTCATTGTCCTCATTATCTAGTAGAGTGTCACGTAGTGAAGAGATGATAAATATTTATTGAATAAATGAATAAATGATAAATATTTATTGAACAAATGCCTGAATGAACAAATAAATGATGAGTACAAGAAGTAGTCACAAGTCTGAGTTTCAGCATGCCTTAGCAGGGAAGGTTAAAACTTGGTTAAAACTCTGAAACTTGCATCATCACCAAAAGCAAAAGATTCTAATCATGTCATAAGATTATTACAATGATTTTTAATAAGATATATAAAACATCTTCTCAAGGATGATAATAAAATGTTATTGCAAAGATTACTTTTAAGTCAGTTATACATATATAATGTATATATTTTAAAATCTATTTCTTACAAGACTGTGTACCTGAATTATTTAATTAAAATAAAAATATACTGAATCTCTGCCCAAAGAAATTAGGAGCACCAAGCTCTGTCCTTGCCTTGCCCTTCTACCAAAAATCATCTTGATTCCCCCAAGTTCACCATAAACAAAGAAACACCAGAATCCCCCCAAAAATAATAAAAGCCCTAAATATAGGAATAATTAAACTGCCCCTTCCCAGAAAAGCTTCATCTAGATATGTAGACAGAATAGGCCTCAGGGCACTACGCCTCAGGACACTCATCAAGGAAGGAATTTGTTTCTGGTTACCTCTGCTCTGCAACCCTTTCTTTCTTAAAATAAATGTGCTTCCCTGTTCTCTGTCTCTCAAAATATTTCCCCGCCCCAACCTCCCCAATAACAGTGCAGGCCAGTTGTTTTTCAGGAACTTGAGCATGGTATCTTCCAAGACCTGTCTGCTCCTTTTCCACAATAGAGCTCTTTCTTGACCCACCCACACCATATCTCTTGATTGACTAGCCCTCAAGTTGAAGTGGAACCTCACTTTTAGAGTTACAAATTCACACACACACACACACACACACACACACACACACACACACACACACGCAAGCACAGATAACAATTTTGCTTTGTTGCTACTTGAAAATATCAGGTCAATAAATGATTTACTAAGCTGGTTTAAAATCTAAAATAATCCTGAGAAATAGCTATTAGCCTTTCATTTATTTATTTATTTATTTAGAAAGATGGAAAGAAAAAGAAAAGCCATACTTCTGGATCTATTCTAGCAAGGCTTTGAATGAAAGAAACATTTGGTCAGTACAGAAAGGCCTGGAAATTCAAATGTGCAGGACAAATCCTAAGTCTTACCAGGAGACACAAAAGCTGTGCAAAACAACTGATGACAGATGATCCTTATTAAGTCTCCAAAGTAAGTATGGAAATGTCATGAACTTGTTGTGATTTTAATATTGGGGCTTAAAGTATCAGCTGTGAGCACACAAATCATTTTTCCTTTAATATAATATTCATAAGTAACACTAAAAATATATGAAAATTTTTGTTACTAGATAAAGATTAGAATGCCCTTTATCAACATCAATTTATACATATTCAAAATATTATCATGGGAAATTTTGAGAAATGAATAAAATGTTAGTAGGAAAAATTTCTCATTTAATAACATTATTTAAGAAAGTTCCCAGGAGCAGGAATGTGGCTCAGTAGTAGAACATAGGACTCATATATAAGGTTTTGCATATGATCCCTGGCTCTGCAAAAAAAAAAAAAAAATGCAGACAGTAAGTAAGTCTTTAAACTTCCAAGCTTGATAACTCACTCATTGATCTGGGGATTTTTTAAAAATACACCTGTATCTATCTGTCCTATATAGTGATTGTGTGTTTGTTTATCTTAAAAGATTATACGCTTACAGAGGTTAAAAAGAGTATTGCTTTTCTAACTCATCTCTTCCTTCTTTCTAACACTGAGACCAATATACATAGGATGTTTTCTATTCACCCAATCGAAAAATTTACATAAACTCTTTTATTTTTTGGTGACTTTATTCATATATATACCAGTGATTTCATAATTCACCCATCTTAAATAAACAATTCTTGTTATTTGGTTTTGGAAAATTAAAAAATAATGTTTTTGTTTGGGGGCCACACCAGGCTGTACTCTAGGACAATATGTAATGCAGAGGATTGAACCTGGGTTGGCCATGTGCAAGGCACATGCCCTACCTGTGTACTATCATTCTGGCCCTGGGCTTTTTTGTGTGTGCCTGTGTGTTTTAAAGACATTCATACGTTTTGGGGGCTGGAGCTATAGTACAGCAAGTAGGGTGCTTGCCTTGCACCCGGCTGACCCAGGTTCAATCCCCAGCATCCCATATGGCCCCCCGAGCACTGCCGGCAGTAATTCCCGAGTGCAGAGCCACGAGTAACCCCTGTGCATGTCCGGGTGTGACCCAAAAAATAAAAAAATACAAACAAAAAAATAAAGACATTCATACCTTTTATGCTTTAACCATCTAATTCCCTCATCAAACGATCCTGGAAAAACACTAAACTACTTGAAAATATTTGTCTCTCGCTATTGCTCTCTATAGATGTTTCTACTCTAGACATTGATACAAATGGAATCATGCATTAAAATAGAAAATCAGATTTAAACCTGTAAACACAAACGTACACTTGTCATTTTCGTCATTTTCATTTGGTATGTATTTAACAAATTTCCCTCTCCCTTTTCAAGATTTAGTTTTATTCTCAGAAAAGTTTAAGTATTTTATTTATCAACTTTTTTCCTCTAATTTCAAATCTGAATAAAGGAAAAAATCCTGTTATTAAAACAGATAAAGGTAAAGGCCCTCCCGTTGATCGTCGATTTGCTCGAGCGGGCCCAGTAACGTCTCCATTGGAGACTTTGTTGTTACTGTGTTTGGCATATCGAATACTCTCGGTAGCTTGCCAGGCTCTCCGAGAGGGGCGGAGGAATCAAACTCGCGTCGGCCATGTTGGCCGCTTGTAAGGCAAACGCCCTACCCGCTGTGCTATCGCTCCAGCCAGAAAGTTATGGTCATATAAAAGTGCAAATGGAACATCAGGAGATAATGCATCACGCTGGAGAAAATACTTTGAATGTGAAATGATGGGATTAATCCTAACACTGCATGAAAGCCAGGTATAGCACCTGAACACTTCTTGGTGTGGCCTCAAAACCAAACTCAAAACAAAACTAGAAAAACAAGTGCAAATTGATACTTAGGGTCTTCAGATTTATCATTCCCTTCAATTCCTTTACAGTTGCGTTAATGTTTGTTAGCTCATTGTGGTGTAGTAGGAGAATATGCAATGAAGGCAAATAGCGCAGGCCTGAAAAATAAACACATACACAACTTTTATACAATATTTTAAACACCTTTCAATTATTTAAACATATTAGTTAGACAAAATCAAAGAATACAACAGAGTTGATAGAAGCATGGATTATCAATAGTCCTGTAAATTATTATGCATAAACAAGCATAAGAATTCAAATAATTTATCATTATGTGGGAATATAGTTAATCTCTTCCCATTGCTATCTTTTTATTTCTCCTAATTATTTTTGTTTGTTTGTTTGTTTTATGATGTGGGGAAACACATCAGCTATGCTCAGGTTTACTCCTGACTCTGTACTTAGAAATTACTCCTAGAGGAGTTCAGGGGACCATATGAAGTGTAGGGTATCAAACTTGATGTTGACCACATGCAATGTGAGTGTTCTGCCCACTATACTATCTCTCCAACCCTATTTTTTTTTTCTCCTGCAGCAACGAATTTGTGAGTGTGATATTGGCACACATAAGACAATGAAAAAGAACAAAATTACTGGTGTAGATGTGGATCAGAGAGAGGAGGGGAGTTCTCATCTTGACCTCTTTGGAAAATTATATGGGTATTTATCCAAGAACTAAGAATTGAGCTTCTATTATGACCCACAAGTTCTACATCTTGGCATTTACCCCCAAGGGGTTCAAAAACATCATTTTGAATAGACATTTGTGTGCCTATGTCTATTGCAAAGCAGTAGCAAAAACCTGGAAGCCACCTTATATATCCAAGGACAGATGACTGAATAAATTGGTTTATATAGACACTGTTATTGTTTAGACTATAAGAAAAGAAGAAATTACTCAATTTGCTGCTAGATGATAGTATCTGCTACAGGGTATCCTGTTGAGTAAAGCAGTCAGAAGGAGATAGACAGGCACATAATAACCTCTCTCAATTGTGGTATATAAAAAAAAGCTCGTAAGGAAGGAACAAATGGCCAAAGGCACAGACCTGGAGAGTTGGTTCACAGAACTAAGTTTATGTGGCGAGAGCATGGGAGGTGAATAGGAGGGTTCTTGGGACGTTGTGGAGGGTAGTGGGCACTCTGGTGGTGGGTGAGGGGTTGGAAAAATGTATACATGTAAGACTGCTTATTAGCAATAATCATGTAGTAGAAACAGGACAATATCTTTTTCTTTTCTTATAGTTGAATAGTATTCCATTATGTACATATACCACAACTTCACTGTACAGTTGGGTTGTTTCAATATGTATTTTGGCAAGTGTAAATAGTACTGCTGAGAGTACAGAAGTGCATGCATCTTTTGAAATTACTGTTTTGTGTTTGGAGATAAATTTTCCAATATTAAGTTGAATAGTGGAAAAGATGACCACCTATGCTTTTACTTGATCTTGGAAGGCTTTCAGTTTTTACCATAAGTATAATGCTAGTTGAGGATTTGTTAAATGTGGCCTTTACTACTTTGGTATAGGTTCCTTCTATCTCTTCTTGAATTTTTCTGTTCTTTTTAAAAATCATGAATGTGTGTTGAGGAGAGTTAGGATTTCTCTGTATTTGTTGACATGGTCATTTACTTTACTTTTCCTTTTGTTGATATGGTCAAAGTATTGATTTGCAGAGGCTGGCTTGTGACACCCTTGCCCAGTGAGCAGTAGCAGTTAGTCTTTCTATCTAGACTAAATTCCCAGGGACCAGTAAACTAGGTGGGATTTGGATATGAAGTTCAGCTTCTCTCTCAAGTACCAGTAAGTAAGGCAGGCGGGTTTTGAGTCTCAAATGCAAATAATCAGGACAGAGTTTGGTTGTACTTCCATAAACCAGGATATAAAGGATATATCTCATATAACCTATATATTTTGCACGAAGGAGACGGTGGTCCGATCCCATTTGGAATTTTGGGACAACAGCCACATTGGTCAGGCAAACTGTCGATTGAATATAATGTGGTCAATTTCATTGTGGAACTGTCCACCAGGAGACTCCCATGTCCAACGTTTAGATTCAGCTTTCTGGAACTGTGAGTTACCAAGGATGGTCTTGGTTGACATGATGAACTCAGACAGTCTCTCATCCTGTTCATTACATTCTAGGCCATGGGTCCCGATGTGGAGTTCTTCAGCTGATCTTTTCGGTCCTATCTTGGCATTAAAATCACCCACAATGATCTTGTAGAAGGTGTGGTCTTCTTTATAGAACTTCTCCAGCTCCATGTAGAACTTCTCAATTTCTCCTTCACCATAATTGGATGTTGGTGCATAGACAATGAAGAAAGAAACTGCAGGCAGTGAGCCACATCTATTCAAGTGTAATAATCCAATTTGAGTTGTTAGGCATTCGAATGAATCAATGATTATGGTCAAGTTCCTGTTGACAAGGACACTGACACCACCGACAGCTCTTTTTGTCGCATGTGCGGAGGAACAGTTTTCTCCAGTGTTGAAAACGGCATGATGTGATTGATGCCTTTTTATCTCGGTCAGATCAATGATGTCGTACTTGATCTTTCACGCACATACCATCAGGTCTTTGATGGATGCATCTGATGCCAGCGTACATGCATTGAAAGTACAGACAGTCATTTTTGTCCTTCTTTATTTTGACAGCCTAGTTCAGCCTTGAGATTTTATCAGCCTCTCCTTTTGCAGGTGTTCCCATGTATCTAACCATATTTGAACCCCATCAAATATGGTGCAGCAATCCTGGAAGATGGGTATTAAGTGTCTTATGATGTGTCATGTGGCCACTTTGTGGCCGCATGGTCCAGAAACTGTCCTGGAGTGTGGCAGCGGCTGGGTAGTGGAGGTAGTGGAGGTAGGAGAGGTCTGCCGGTGAGGTATTTATCTGGTACCAGTAGGGTGGGTCTTCTGTGTGTAATCCCTGGGTTGCCGGAGGTTGGTGGAAACGAAATTCTACTTCATGGTGTGGGGAGAAAGGGCTGCAAAGTTTAAGAAGAGAACTCCCAGAACGACCACCAACTGGAAGCTCTTTGGCACTATTGCAGCAACATGGGAAGATGCCGTTGCTGACAACATTGACGAGGAATACGATTGACTGGTTCAGCACCTCCATGATTGTGCCAGGAATGCCGGGAGAGAGATAGCCACAAAAGGACACGTGGCTTGGCGCAAGCCTCAAGCAACTGCAAGTGAACATCCAAGTTTGCAAAGTAGTACAGAGAATCGATAAAGGAAGACTTCAAAGAGAGAAGAGCAGCAGTGCTGGCAGATGCGGCAAAATCTGGGAAACGCATTTGCAACACCCGCTTGTCCTTTGCCAAACACAAGATCAATATGACTGCCCTCCGACATCCTGATGGATCTATCACATCTTCCAGAAGGGCAATGGAGAAGATTATCCATGACTTCTACTCGGATATCTTCTATAGCCATGTCCACCTGCCAACGTACCAAATTCCGCTGGATGGATATGTTGTTCTCAACATTCTCCCTTCCGAAATCCTACACACCATTTCATCAGTAAATAAGTGAACAGCACCTGTCCCAGACAAGGTCAGACCCAAACACCTGAAGAACTTGCCATCAGTACTTATCAATACACTGGCTCGGCTCTTCACACACTACCTGTCTGTATGCAAGGTTTTGTCCCAATGGAAAACCAGCAGGACTATACTACTGTACAGAAGAGAGACATCCAAAACATTGGAAACTATCACCTGATCTGCCTGTTGTCTATCGTCTACAAACTGTTCACTTAAGTCGTCCTGAATGGGATTGGCAGAACACTAGACGAAGTACAACCATGCTAGCAAGCTGGGTTCTGCAAAGGATTCAGCATGATCGACCATATCCACATGATAACCAAGCACATTGAGGTTTCTCGGGAGTTCAAGATGCCACTCTGTCTAACATTCATTGATTTAAAGAATGTCTTTGATTCTGTTGACACGAAAGCAGTCATCGAAGCCCTAGTCAAACAGAGCATTCAAACTCAATACATCAGAATCTTCCATGAGCCATATTATGGATTCACTACCAGGATCTCACCATTCTCCAAGGAAGTTATCATCCATGTCAAGAGTGGGGTTCAGCAGAGTGATACAATTTCACTGAAACTTTTCAGTGCCACCCTCGAGAATGTCATGCAATGACTGAAATGGGAAGGAATGGGAGTGAAGATAGATGGTCAGCAACTACACCACCTTCTCTGTGCTGATGACATCATTCTAATAACACTAAACATTAGCCAAGTGGTATAAATGCTGACCGACTTTGACCGTTAAGTGTGGAAAGGTCAGACTATAGCTGAATCTCATAAAGACATTGTTTATGAGAAACAGTCTCACTCCTGATGTTCTATTCACTCTCAGTGGAATGAACATCTTCAAATGCAACAGTTATGTGTACCTAGGTCAAGAAATCAACATGACGAACAACCTGACACCTGAGCTGAGCGGGAGGAAGAGAGCAGCTTGGAACACATTCAAGAGCATGGAAGAAATAGCTAAGAGGATGAAGAACCTCCGGCTCTGGGCACATCTCTTTGATTCCACTGTTCTTCCTGCATTAACATATGCCTGAGAGACCTGGGCCCTATGAAAACAAGATGAGAACACTATTTGGGTCTCCCAAAGAGGAATCAAAAGAGCTATGCTTGCAGTATCACACTTCACTTAAATGAGAGAAAGAATCTGGAGTTCTGACCTCCATTGATGGTCAAGATTCAGGGACGCTGTCTCATTTGCCAACGTGTCAAAAATCAGATGGGCTGGACACATAAGAAGATTTGGAAATGACCACTGGACTAGAGCCATTACCAACTGGATTCCACGGGATGTCAAATGATTGAGTGGCTGTCCACCTATGAGATGGTCAGACTTCTTCGTCAAGACCCTGAACGATTGCTTTGAGGCTCTTCATTTTTTTAGAATGAGCAAACACCATTGGGCTACACTAGCACGTGACAGCGCCAAATGGAGGTGCTACTGGCACCCACTCAAGCAAATCGTTGAGTAACAGGATGTCAAGTGATCAAGTGATCCTATATATATTAGGACTTGGGTACAAAGACTGACTGTCCTTCAAGGTATTGGTGAGATGGGTAAAGTTCCATCTTAAGTTTGGGTACTCAGGCACAGCCCAGGATATGGTAGGGTTTGGATACCAACTTTGACTGTTAACCATGTACTCACTAAAGCATTAGTGCTATACAGCTGGTTGTGCTGTGTCCTTGTGAATCCCATGAACTGGGCAAGGTGAGATAGCAGTGTTTTCTTTGTTTGGTGGCCATACCTGGAAGGATTTAGGGCTTATTCTTAATTCTGTACTCAGGATTCACTCCTGGAAATGCTTGGGGGACCATATATGGTATTGGGACAGTCTAACTGAGGTTGACTACATAAAAGGCACTTGTTTAAAAAGAGGATGGTTGGGGGGTCTAGAGGGGTTAAGGTACTGTGCATGCTGCTGCTGCTGCTGCTGCTGCTGCTAGCTAGTTCCCAGGCACCACACTTGTTTCCCTGAGTAGCTCTAGAAATGATCCTTGAGCCTTGCACATTGCAGGATATAGTCCAAACAAAACAAATATAAAGCATCCTATGTCCAGTGCATTTTGGGGTGATGAAATAAAAAATTGTAAGTCCTGTTCATTCCATAATTCAGTCCCCAAACAATCACCATCATGATCATCCTGTTGTTCGTCGATTGCCTCGAACAGGCACCAGTAATGTCTCCTTCATCCTAGCACTGAGATTTTAAAAAGTGCCATATTCATGGATCTTTCAGGGTTAGGAGAATGAGACCCATCATTGTTACTGGTATTTGGCATATTGGGTACGCCACGGGGAGTTTGCCAGACTCTGCTGTGTGGGCAGGTTACATTTGGTAGCCTGCCAGGTTGTCCAAAGTAAGAATGAGATAATAAGATAAACAAAGTCCCCAAACAAATAAATGAAAAGCATTGGTCAGTTAAACAAGCCTTCAGTGTGAGGAATGAGTAAACAGAGACTGTGTTTCCACTTCCTCATGTCATCTTCTATTTCTTTTAATAATTTTATTTTTTCTTTCTGTTTTTGGACCACACCCAGCAGTGCTCAGGGCTTACTCTGTGAATAGGAGTCACTCCTGGTGGGCTCTAGAGACCATATAGGATGCTGGGGACAAAACCTAGCTGCATAAAAGGCTAGTGCCCTATCTGTTGTACTATTGCTTGAGCCCCTATTTTAATAGTGTTTTATAGTTTTCTTTGTATAATCCTTTTTATCTTCTTTGGTTAGTTGATCTTTAGGCACAGGTACTTAGTTTGGTGGTGCTGGTGTCTTTTTTTTGTGAAGGGGCTCTCCGAAGAGGTGCTCAGCAGACCTTGGGGCTCCATGAATAAGTCTCAGCCAACAAAGACAGTGGTTTACACCCAGGGTCTGAGAATGTGGTACTGCTCTAGCTGTTTGGTGCTGCCTATTATCCCAGCCACCATCATGGTGTTGGGGGCCTCTGGGGCAGCACCCAAGGATGTTTGGAGACCCATGTGGTGCTGGGTATTGACTGGGTCAGGCATATGCTAGGCATAGACCCTTAATACTGTACTTGTCCTGAGGGCTAGGTACTTGATTTGGAGGAAGGAAACACTTATCTTCCTTGCCCCACCTCACCACCCCTACTTACCCCACCATTCTCTGCCTGCTACCAAAAGTCTGGTGGTTGCAGCTTAGACCTCATGTTTTCTGTGTATTGAATCTATGGGTATACCATTCACCCACATCACCAGTGTAACTGAAACCCCAATTCCTGCTCCCCCATTACTTCCCACTCTCATGTTCTTCCTTACCCCATTGATTTCCTTCCTTCCAGGACATCCTTGTCTTTTGAATAATCTTAGAGGAAAGTCTTTCAGTTTTTCACCATTGAAAATGATATTAATCATGGACTTATGATATATGGCCTTCACTGTACTGAGGACAGTTCTTTCTATCCCCATTTCATTGAAAGATTGTTTTATTTTTAAAAATCATAACTGAATATTGGATTTGGTCAACTGTTATATCTGTATCTATTGATATGGGGCTTGTTCCTCTAGTTGCTTACTACTTTGAAGCTCTTTATGCAAAAACAAATCATTTGCTAATTGTTGCCGCATAATCCTTCTGTGGGCCCACTTGCAAAATCTTTTGGTCATTTTTATATTTGCAATTGTGAGTGCGCACGCGTGCGTGTGTGTGTGTGTGTGTGTGTGTAAGTGTGTGTAAATAGTTTTATTTAAAGAAACTCACTTAGAGAAATGGTAGGAGAGAGAGAGAGAGAAAGAGAGAGAGAGGAAATAGAAGAAAGAGATGTGTTCAAGAAGAAATAAAAGCTTCTCCAGAATGAAAAAATCAGAATGACACTTGAAAAGAAGGGTATATACAATTTATCCAAATTATCCTGGCCTGGAGTTCTCTGAACACATAATGAGCACTTAAAAGTTAATCTAGGAGGATCCTCCCAACATCCTTTATTTGGTGCTCCCTTCTCTAACTGAGCTCCCTTTCCCCCTAGCATGTGTGGTTGGCCTCCAAACCATGGAGCAAACCTCCTGGTATTAATCCCGGCCACTCTTGAGTGTTAGTCTCCTATTTTGTTACTTTATGTTCCCCAGATGAATGCAATCTTTCTATGTCTAGCGCTATCTTTCTGATTCATTTCACAGGATGGAGAAGCATGCTAAAAGTAGACTATAGACCAAACATGATTGCCACCCAATGCCTCTTTTGCAAACCATAATGCCCAAGAGGAGAGAGAGAACAAAAGGGAATTCCCTGCCACAGAATCAGGGTGGGATGGGGGAATGGGGGTGGGAGGGATACTGGGATCCGTGATGGTGGGAAATGGGCACTGGTGGAGGGATGGGTCTTTGATCATTGTATAATTGAAACCCAAGCACAAAAATTTGTAAGTCTACAACTGTACCTCATGGTGTCTCACTAATAAAAATTAAAAAAAAAAAGAAATTTATGTATCTTTGTTCTGATGCTGAAAAAAAAGTTAATCTAGGGGTTGTCACAGGAAGACAGCAAGAAAGCCTTGAACTCATATCAAGACATTTAGATTCTTTGTGGTTTCTCTTTGTCTGAGGAGATCTACTCTTCTCTGTTTGGCCCTGGGTCAGATCTCATGTTTTCAACAGAGATGTCAAAAGATATTTGCATGCAATTATCAGTTCCATATTTTAAAAGTTAATACTTTACAACAAATTCAATCAATACAGAATATTTAAGACTTACCTTCTATATCAAATAATGCATTGTTGTTTAAATATAATTCTGTCAGACAATAGTTTTTAGTTAAAAATCTTATTTGATGGAGCTAAAAATAAGAGTAAGAAAAGTATATTTTTAACAATAATTTTCCAGGATAATACAAATTCTTCTGCTATTATTATTAATTGCTAGGTCTTTAAGGACAGTGTGATAAATAGGATAAAACTTTTTTTCATGTCTTTACCAAATTCCTTGCATAGTTTTAAAAACCTAGTCCTTGTGCTCTAATAATCTCTCTCAAGATTATTTTCACAGTTTTATTAGATTTGACACTCTCTCCATTAATCCATCATCACATATTAGCGACTTTCATGTAACAAGGGTTCTCTCCTAAGATAATGCTGGGACCACTGCTCTATATGTGTATGAATCATTGATTCCTTTAGCCTGTACGACATCCTGGTACGTTTTCGATTATTCTTAAGAATAAGCCATAGGCCAGAGCAGGCTGTCACAGGAGAATTCTGCTGTTCCAGATACTTGTTGAGGCTATTCTTTGATCTCTTGCATCGTGCCACTCTCTTTTTGCTCTTTGACCCACATTTGATTCTTTAAACTTCCACTCACACTCTGAGTGCTAGAGTTTCAGATTGGTTTAATTCTGAACTCTCTTTTATCCCGCATTTACTATGTACCATTGCCTTCCTCAAGTTCATTTTCTTTCTGGCAAACTGATTACCTCAGTTTATCTGAGAACTATGCTTCTATTTGAGTGGACACAGGGCAGTTCTCTCAAGTCAGGCCCCTACTGCTAAGAGACCCCTGGCCACCATCTGAAGAAGAGGACTAAGTACACCATTATGCTCTGGCTTCATAACCCATCTTTTTTTTTCTTTTGCTTTTTGGGTTATACCCAGCCATGCTCAGGGGTTACTCCTGATTCTGCACTCAGGAATTACTCCTGGTTGTGTTTGGGGAACCATATGGGATGCTGGGAATCGAACACAGGTTGGCCATGTGCAAGGCAAATGATCTACCCACTGTGCTATCACTCTAGCCACTATAATAACCCATCTTTTTAAATCAGTATTTTCCTGGTAATCTCTGGATCATGAACCTCCAGTGTATGCACCTTTCTAATATTTTATTTGACTTATACAGTTAATCATTTAATCACTGAAGTTTTACATATTCCTTAGTGAAGCAAGCAATATTTCTTCATGCCTGAGCCCTTTCCCATCTTCCCACTTTCTTAATAATATATTAAGATGGTCTCTTTTAAGATTAGATTAAAATTTAGCGTCTATGAATCAGAAATAACCAAAAGCATTCTTGAAATTCCTCCAATGGATCATTAAATTGTGTATACATAACACGGGATTTCTAACTCTAAATTAAAACTCATTTTAAATTGTCTGAAATATTTCTGTATACTAGAGATCCCAGTGATTATTATTTTAAACGCTGAGTTTACAACCTTGAAAAAATTTAACATATTTGTTTGAATTATGAAGATGAGGTATGGTAAATTAATAAAAGTATAGCAGGTGTATTCTAAAAGCAACAGGTAAATTAAAGATAAAAGTGATATTGCTACTGCTCAATAAAATATTTAACACGGAGAAGAGTCTCATGAAATAACTATTGACCTACTGCTTATTATTTTTATATGTAAAGAAATATATATTCATTGTAATTAGCTTTTGTGTGTTTGTAAAAGCATAGAATAACCATCATTATTAGTTAAATGGAAGTGATTTGGCCTTTTATAGATTGACTTATCTACTGCACTCATGTTCTATGAAGTCTCAGAAAAGCTATTTCAGAACTGTATTCAGGGCCAGAGAGTAGTACAGCGAATAGGGAGTTTGCCTTGCACACGACTGACCCAGGTTCAATCCCAGATACCACATACGGTCCCTTGAACCTTCCCAGGAGTGATTTCAGCATGTAGAGTCAGGGAATAAGTCCTGAGCATAGCTGAGTATAGCCAAAATAGAACAAAACAAAAATGCAACAAAAAAAGAAAGAAAGGAAAATTGTATTCAAAGTTTGAAAACTGGAGCAATAGCACAGTGGTAGGGCGTTTGCCTTGCATGCAGCCAACATGGCTGACCCGAGTTCGATTCCTCTGCCCCTCTCGGAGAGCCCAGCAAGCTACCGAGAGTATCTCGCCTGCACAGCAGAGCCTGGCAAACTACCTGTGATGTATTCGATATGCCAAACACAGTAACAACAAAGTCTCCAATGGAGACGTTACTGGGCCCGCTCGAGCAAATCGATGAACAACGGGAGGACAGTGACAGTGACAGTGATGCTAGCAAGATTCACCATGAATTTTATAGTTTCATAAAACTACGAAAGGCAAACTATAAAAGGCTCCTGTGCTGCTCATCTTGTCATTTCACACATTCACCTCTACCAAATTATGTCAGCACTCATGCTAAAGTAATTTCACCTAAGCTTTTGTGAAGTCCATGAGTAGAACCGTACTTTTCCTCTGTGCAGGGGAGACCCCTCAAAGCAGTAGGGTAGGTTCCAGTGTCTTCCTCTGCTGTCCACTCTCCTACCAGCCTTCTGACAGTAACTCACTTTCTTCTTCCTTGTCCTCACCACCCCCTGATCTAATGATAGTCACATCTGACAATATATAGGGGAAAAAAAACACCATTGAAAAAATTCATGGCTTCTTTTTCTCTTCTTTCCAAGTTACCTGCCCAACTATATATGAATACAACATTACTAATTTGTTGAGGCTTTAATTTCTTTTACATTGCTCACAAAAGAGTATTTAAAAACTCAACTACTTCCTCTTAATTATAGAGTCATAATTTCCTCAAGGGTGGAGCGATAGCACAGTGGTAGGGTGTTTGCCTTGCACACAGCCAACATGGCCGACCCGAGTTGGATTCCTCCGCCCCTCTCGGAGAGCCCGGCAAGCTACCGAGAGTATCTCGCCCGCACAGCAGAGCCTGGCAAGCTACCCGTGTTGTATTCGCTATGCCAAACACAGTAACAACAAAGTCTCCAATGGAGACGTTACTGGGCCCACTCGAGCAAATCAATGAACAACAGGAGGACAGTGACAGAATTTCCTCAAGGATAAGCATCTTTGGATCATGATAACTGGGATTTTAAGATTTCACTGTGAAGGAATAATAGGGTAGACTGGAAAGAATGAAATTCAGATCTTGAGGACATTGGGTAACTATTAAAAGATCTTCTACAGGAGTTTGCTATTGTTCAACTTGATTTTGGAAAGAAAATATCAGAAAAGAATACAATGTAAAATGATAGTAAGTATAATGTTTGGTGATTAATAAGAAGGGTGCTCTAATGCAGAAGAATATATAGTGGTTCAGGGACTGGAGCAATAGCACAGCGGGTAGGGTGTTTGCCTTGCACACTGCCGACCCACGTTCTATTTCCAGCATCCCGTGTGGTCCCCTGAGCATCGCCGGGAGAGTGATTCGAGTGTAGAGCCAGGATTAACCCTGTGCAACGCCGGGTATGACCCTAAAGGCAAAAAAAAAAAAAGAAGGATATATAGTGGTTCAGAGCACAGTAATACAAGTGGAAGATGTGAGACGTGGAGGGAACTATAAGACAGCTTCAGGGGTTAGGAGATAATACAACAGATTACCAGTGGGGTCCCCAGACCTGCTGAAATCTGCTGAGGAAGTTCCCACCCCTAGAAAAAGACAGCTCCAAGGTAAAATTTTCAAGATGTAATAGGCTTTGTGACCTAGCAACTTGTTAAAATCTAAACTTGAACAAGAATGAAAAGACACACTGATTTCCCTGATATCCAAACTATTATTAAAGTAAAATGTTATAATTATCCACTTAGAAAAATCTACACTACTAATTTAAAATGTTTATATTTAATGTAACATTTCACAAGTTGTATATCTCAGCTTAAATCTTGGCACATAGCAAGTGCTTAATAAATAATAATTATTATTTAATTATTTTAAAATAGGTTTGGAAGTTTGTTGTTTTTATTTTGCTTTGTATTTGTGGTGCTTAAGAGTATATTCCTCAGGGGGCAAGAAAAGTGAAGTGGAGCAGGGAAAGCCTCTTTAACAAATTGTGCTGCCAAAACTGGACGGCTACATGCAAAAAAATGGGCTCAGATCTCTGCCTAACTCCATGTATAAAAGTAAGATCTAAGTGGATTAAAGACCTCAACATCAGACCTGAATCTATAAGGTACATTGAGGAAAAAAGTTGGCAAAACCCTTCATGACATAGAAGCTAATGGTGTCTTCAAAGACCACTGGCCAAGTAAGTGAAAACAGAGATAGACAAATGGGACTATCTTTTTTTTTTTCTTAGTTTTTTTTTTAGTGAAGCACCATGAGGTACAGTTGTAGATTTACAAATCTTTGTACTTGGGTTTTGGTCATACAATGATCAAATACCCATCCCTCCACCAGTGCCCATTTTCCACCACCATGGATAATATCCCCCCTCAATTCCCCCCTCCCACCCTGCCTCTGTGGCAGGGCATTACCTTTTGTTCTCTCTCTCCTTTTGGGTATTGTGGTCTGCAAAAAAGGGATTGAGTGGCAAACATGTTCAGTCCATAGTCTACTTTCAACATGCATTTCCCCTCCTGGGAGGATCCTCCAAACACCCTTTATTTGGTGCTCCCTTCTCTATCTGAACTGCCCTTTCCCCTAGAATACCGGGCTGGCGTCTAAGCTATGGAGTAATCCTGGTGTTGATCTCAGCTATTCTTGGGTATTAATCTCGTATTTTGTTGCTTTATATCCCCCAGATGAATGCAATCTTTCTATGTCTATCCGTCTCTTTCTGACTCATTTCGCTTAGCATGATACTTTCCATATTGTACCACTTGTATGTAAAGTTCATGACTTCATCTTTTCTAACAGCTACATAGTACTCCATTGTGTAGATGTACCAAAGTTTCTTTAACCAGTCATCTGTTCTTGGGCACTCAGGTTTCTTCCAGTTTCTGGCTATTGTAAAGAGTGCTGCAATGAACAAACAAGTGCAGATGTCACTTCGACTACACATTTTTGCCTCTCTGGGGTATATTCCCAGGAATGGTATTGCTGGGTCAAATGGGAGCTCAATTTC